TTTTTTTTACGTTGGTAATTGTATTATGATTTGCATTAGTTTGTACTAATGCGGATCACTAATTTCAGAATTTTTAACTAAAAAAATATCCCAATGAAAACCCGAATAGCACCTAGCTACCTACAAGTATATTAAATTAAGTCAGATCAATAATCAATAATTAGTATAAAAACATAAACATAATATAACATTCAAATTATAATTATTAAAAACTTTTTAATACTATATTAAACAACATATATATTTTTTTTTTTGATTGAGCGACTTTAATATTAAGAGACGTCGACATTTTTCAGTGCTTGTATATGTTACGGTCGAAGTGTATAATTCGGGCATTGTGCACAGTGCTCATCTTATTTGGAAATAGCTGAATCTGCTTTTAATTTGAGTACATTACCTGGTTATTGTAATACAATAGGCGGGCATTGTGTACAGTAGGTACTTAATTGTTTGTGRGCAATGTAAGTTTATCGTGATTCCGCGCCTACATGTATAAAGAATGATATTTTTCTTTAATGTTACAACGATAACGTCGATAACGATAATCGATTAAATTTTCTCCTCGATGGTATTAAACTATATAACTTATATATATATAACTATATAACTTATATATATACTTATACTGTACTAATAACTGTACGTCAGTACTCTGTACGTATTGTAACAGTCGATACTATACCTATATGGTTTCGATATCTGTATATACGAGTGTAATAATTATTAGAGTACAACGAATGTAATAGATTATTACCGCATGATAATATTTTTATCAGAGGGTTTGCCAACGACTGAATTAGATCAGTTGAAATTACACCATCTAACGGATAGGATGTATTTTTACACGTGTTATTATTACGAATTTTCTTAATATTTAAAATGGTTGATTTCAAATGTTGTGAAAAATTTAGTATTATTTTGAGTAAAAAAAATTCGAATAATGTATTTTTAAGTTAAGTAAAATACAACGAAGTATTAGAAGAAGTCAAACGGTTAAAAAGTGGAGTAAAATTAAAACCAAATGATTATAAATTATTGAAGTGTTATGATATAATGAATGTAAGTAATATTGAAAAAATAATTGTACCGGTAACTGATCCAAATACTATCAAATATTATGTTTATAACGAAGAGTTATATAAAATAATTCATGACGTGCATTTGCAAACTGGACATGGAGGTAGAAACCGAATGGAACATGAACTGAATGCAAAATATAAAAACATTACTAGGGAATGTTTAATGATATATTTAWAAACCTATGTGAATTATGTCAGAGAAAAGGTAAAACSGTGAAAAKAGGGCTAGTTGTTAAACCAATAATTTCTTCAGAAACGAATTCTCGTTGTCAAGTAGATTTGATTGATATGCAAGCTCAACCTGATGGAAATTATCGATTTATTTTAGTTTATCAATATGGACAAGATCACATAACGAAGTAGGTATGTTTTACTTAAACCATTAACACACAAACGCGCAGAATAAGTTGCCTATATATTACTTGATATTTTTACTACATTTGGAGCTCCGTGCATCTTACAGAGTGATAACGGTATAGAGAATTTGTTAACAAGGTTATTGAAGATTTATGTAGTATGTGGGAAGAACTGAAAATTGTGCATGGCAAGCCACGGCATTCACAGAGCCAGGGCTCTGTCGAAAGGGCTAACCAGGATGTAGAAAATATGCTTGCCACTTGGTTAACAGATAATGAAACCAATAAATGGAGTGAGGGACTTAAATTCATTCAATTTATGAAAAATAGAAGTTAACATCACGGAATTAAATGTTCTCCTTATGAGACGATGTTTGGTACCCGAGCAAAAATAGACTTGAAATCTACTTCTCTACCAGAAAGTATCATACATAAGCTTAAGACTGATGATGATTTCGAAACCGCACTGAATTCTATTAATATCAATCACGAAAAAAAAACTCAGATACAACCTAAAGAAAAATCTGTTGATACATCTGCTGAAGAAAATATTGATGTTAATGAAGAACGAGCTGATATTATTATACAATCAAGACAGGAAACTATCATAGCAAAAAGAAGCGAATCGTTGTATAATTTAAAAGTCCAAGCCTCAAAAATGAAGACTAACTCTGAAAATCGACTTCGTGAAGGAAAAATTGGCGAAAATGTTAAAATTAGAATACCTGATGTTGATAAAGCACGGAGTGATCTGC